CCCAAAACAAAATTCTTTACCATTTTTCTCAAAAACCAATCGATAAAAAATTATAAAAATTAGTAAATTTATAAAGAAATATAAGTTTAACACTATTACCAATTTTCAGGGATTTTTATTCGATACCTTTTAAAATATATCCGTATAAAGACCTAAATTTTACCATTTTTGAGATTTCGAAAAAGTTGTCTTTATACGGTAATATTTTTAAAACTTGACTTGTAGAGAAAATTTGAAAAACGGATTCGAACTCAGAGTCAAATTCTGCACAAAATTGTTTTATTTTTTTTTCTCCCATTTTTCTTGTCACACAGTGTTATATATTATGGTGTTAGGTTATAATATAAACGGGTTAGTTAAATTCATTTTTAACAAATCGGTTAATATAAAGTTTATATAAACTGCTTGATATATAAATAAATTAAAATATAATTTATGGTAAACCACAAAATGTGTAAAAATGTTGGCGAGTTTTATTTTTATTTTATTCTTTATAAATTTTCTTCGCGGCTACCATCTTTCCAGTTGTTTGAAACATTTAGTTTGGTGTCTTAGCTTGTTTCCGTGATTCTTGGTTGGCCAGTCATTAACGCGCCGTTGTTGGTTATTCATAATTGTCATTTTATTAGTTTAAATAATCCCAGAAGTAATAATAATTAAAATGATAATAAATTTGAATTGTCCAATTATGAAATGATAAAAATTGAATAAATTGTTCATGATATTAATTCATAAATATTAAATAACGAAATGATAAATCATATGCTAAGAAAAGAGAAGAGAAGAGAAGAGAAGAGAAGAGAAGAGAAGAGAAGAGAAGAGAAGAGAAGAGAAGAGAAGAGAAGAGAAGAGAAGAGAAGAGAAGAGAAGAGAAGAGAAGAGAAGAGAAGAGAAGAGAAGAGAAGAGAAGAGAAGAGAAGAGAAGAGAAGAGAAGAGAAGAGAAGAGAAGAGAAGAGAAGAGAAGAGAAGAATTCATATATATTAATCTGTTTTTTTCTTAACAATTTAAATTATTTTTAGTAAAAATTTATTTTTGAATAACGCTAATTAATATGATTTTAACGGAATCTTATTATACTCATTATAATAATGTAATTTTTACAATTTTTTTTTTTTTACAAATTTTGGAAAGCAATATATATGGCAAACCAATGCAAGATTAATTATATATAAAATCGTAATATTTTTTTTTAAAACTATATTACTCATTCTGCATATTAATTATAATTTTGATTTTAATATAATAAATATTTTTTTGTCATTTTTTTTTCTAATGCTAAAAGGAAGCAGTAAAGCACATAGTATACAAGTTAACTAAAACATTAATTTAAAATTTTTGCTGATTTGGTCAGATCCCAATCTAGGCTTCTGAATTATCTGAAATCGTCAAAATAAACCTAGTGTAGAAATAATATATTTCTAGTTTTCAACTTTTTTTTAGGGTTGTTTTGCCGAGTTAATTTTTTTTTCCGACTTTCCTCGTAAATGTGTTATTTTTTTTTATAAAACTTTAGGGGGCCAAGGTAAAAGTTTTCGGTTAAAAATTTTTGATCGACGCTTATAGAATCTTTGGGATTTTGGCGTGTAATTGACATGTTGGCTCCCTCGTTTTCATAATAATTATAATCCGCCAGGAAAAAATGTTTCAAAATATGCACATTTATTGACCATTATAATATATTTATCCCGTTCGTACCATTTCAAGACATCAGGTTTGGTAGGATAGGAATCTTAGTTTTTCTTTTTTTAAGACTAATTGACCAAAGAAAACCATAAATAACTTTTAAGGCCTTTTATTAATCGTTTATAAGTATTATTCAAAGATTCATGACCATGACCATGACCATCGTCATCGTAAGATGGCTGATTGATTCCTTATATCTTAATCTAATTGTTAAATAATATAATATATTCTTTAAATTGTTTTCCTTAATAATTGTTTTTATGTAAATTTATCAATCCTCTACAATGTATAATACATTCTGTTTATCGATATATTATAATAAGTTTTAAAGTTTTACAAAAATAAAACCTTAGGAATTATCTTCCTTCATTAGATTTAATATATTATGTTTTTTTTTTATAGGCTATGTTCAAAACTTGAAGAAGAAATAATGTTTTTAATAATTTAGAAAAATAAAAGACATGTCAGAAAACATTTGTTTTTACATAAAAATTTAGACAAAGTTTTAATAATTTAACATAATATTTATATAGATATATATACTAACTTTTAAAATTTGTGGAAGTTTTCAAATTTTGCTAAAATATATAGTCCAAGATTTATTAATTTATGAATTTTAAATGTAATTTTCGAAATTAATAAACAAAATTTTATAATCTAATATTTCTTAGGGCTTTAATTTGATATTTAATAAGTGTGAAGGGCAAGGATATGATGGAGCTGCATATATGAGAGAAATATATTCTGTATTCTAGGGGTCTAAGCAGAAAATTCATATAAAGAATTATTTAAACTTTATGCGCCACAAACCCCTTAATATAGTAAAAAAAATAATTGCAAAATATATATTTTTTAAAACAAGTATATAATAATGTAAATTATATAAGAAATAATTAGAAGGTTTTCTTCTACCATTTAAACACAACACAAAGAAATGAAGCCTCATATAAAATAATCTCATCCAAGCATAAATTTTCTTTTTTTTAAATCCGTTAATAATTATATATAAATTATAGGATTAAACAGAATTTTTCTAAGGAAGTAAAACTTTTGGATGGTGTACCTTGAAGGAGGTTCAATTTTCTAAGGCCAATCAATGGCAGGGGAAACAAAAATTTTATTTAAAAAAAAGTGTTATGTTCATAACATTATATTTTTGGTGTAATCACAATGGTAAGGGAATGGCTAAATGTCGGCTAATTCTGCCCAATCTATAGGCGCGTGCCCAGAGAAAATTCGTTAAGATACAGGCGGTTTAATTTATATTCATTTCTTTCCAAATTTGAGCGGCTATAAACTCTGAAGTCGAAGATGCTATTTTTTAGCTAAAAATTGGCCTGCTTAAACGGCTAAAAATATAGTTCACTTTATTAGTTTCAGCAGCTAATTTTCTTTTATAACATTATTAACGGCTTTTTGAGGTTATTAAGAGATGAAAACAAAAATTTGTGCTGGATATTTCATTTGGCTATGTAGAATTTATTTTATTTTTTTTTCTCTCTTTTAGCTTTCACCTTTTCTGGTGGTAAGCTCCTTCAACATCTCTCTCCACTTTATGTTATTCATACAATCTCTTTTATCTATTTTATACTTCTTTATATTGGCTCTAACTTTATGGCCCCATTGAAGTTTTGGCCTTCCTCTTTACGTTTGCCCATCACTTCCAAACTTTCAACTTTATTTCCTATGTAGTTCATAGGCCTTCTCATTGTGTGCCCATACCACCTAAGTCTGTTTACCATTAACTTAGTCTTAATGGGCACTACCTTTAAACTATTTAGTATTCTTGTACTGCGCACCTTATCCTTTCTTGTTACCCCAGCAATCATCCTCAGCATTCTCATCTCCATAGTTTGTAGACTTCTCTCGTCTGATTCTTTGGTTGGCCATGTTTCCGAACTATATAGAATAGTTGGTTGTACTATGGAACTGTAGATTTTTCCTTTAATTTGTGTGGGATTCTTTTTGTCAAATAGCACTCCAGATAAAGATCTCCACTTTAACCACCCTTGATTAATCTTATTCTTTATCTCTTTTTCTATTGTGCCGTTTGTTTGTATAGTGGAGCCCAAATATTTACAGCTTTCAATTGCGGATATCTACCAATCATTTATATCAATACTCTCCGTTTCATCTCCTCCTATCACCATATACTCCGTCTTTTCTCTATTTACTTTTAATCCGTGCGTTTCTAGGATATTTATCCAATTCACTAACCTTTCTTTCATTTCATCCTTGGATTCGGCAAGTATCACAATATCATCAGCAAATATCATATTCCACGGGACTGTTTGAGGTATAGACTGTGCTAATACATCTATTACTGTAATGAAGAGAAGTGGGCTGAGAGCCGACCCTTGATGAACTCCTTCGGCTATTGTGAAACCTGCTGAAGTACCTGTTGTGCTACGGACCATTGTTGTATGTCCCATATACATATCCTGTATTATTCTTATATATTTTTCGGGAACTTTTTGTGGCGTAGCGCCCACCAGATAAGTTTTCTTGGGATTCTATCGAAGGCCTTTTCTAGATCGAGATCTAATGATAACGAGATTGATGATATTGCATTTCTATATTAATAATTACTACAGATTGAGGCGGTTAACTTAAAAAAGTGGAACAAATTAAGTGCAGCATTAAAAAAAAGGCATTATATAACTTATAAGAAGAACAACAGAACTAATTTTATTGAAACAAAAAAAAAATGTAAACTTGGGAGGTTGAGATTTGCGTGAATTTCAAAAAAGAAAAGCGTTAGCGTTTACAAATTGGAATTGTATTTTTAAGCTCATCTTTATAATGCAAAAATCGCAATTGCGTTTGTAATGTTAGAGAGTAAACCAGAGTACTTCAGTATACCATTACACCTGTATAAATTTGCCTAGCTAAATTAAACAAATCTCATTATAATATTTAAAACTTTTAAATTTGTTTTTAAAAAGATTTATTTTTTTAATTTTTATAATTTATATTATGAAAGAAAATAATATAAAAGAATATATTATAATAATTAAATTAATTTCCAAGGATGATTTTTAAGAAATAATATATAAATTATAAATTACTAAAAAGAAAATAGCCAATTCAAACAAAAAAATAAAAATAAATTAGAGTTTTGATAACAATCTTATTTATCAATTTATTGGTATTTTAAAAAAAAAAATATATTAAAATTTATAACATTAAATATCATTTAAGATTTAACATTTTAATCTTATTTTATATTTTGCAAAAATCATTTTCTTTTGTTTTTGTTTTATTATTATTTATCTTTTCGTCAAAAATCAAATATTTATAAATTGGATAATTATATTCCTATATAAAAAAAAATTTTTTTTAAATATGTTTATGAAGAGGGGTAACTCTGATTTGCAAAACACTTTCTTGAACACATTGATCAAAAAGTTTAATAGCCAAGGTAAAAAAAATAAATATTTATTTATTTTCAATATTGAAGGAAGGAAGAAGAAGGAAGGAAGGAAGGAAGGAAGGAAGGAAGGAAGGAAGGAAGGAAGGAAGGAAGGAAGGAAGGAAGGAAGGAAGGAAGGAAGGAAGGAAGGAAGGAAGGAAGGAAGGAAGGAAGGAAGGAAGGAAGGAAGGAAGGAAGGAAGGAAGGAAGGGAGGGAGGAAGAAAGTTCAAAATTAATGACTCCCAATTGTTTGGGAGCTATTTAAATCAGGGACATGGAAAACAAACTTGAGAAAAAAAATATGGAACGCGTTCCCAGAACAATTTAAAATAATTTTAAGTGTTTCATAATAATAATTAAAAAAAGGTTTTTAAATTTCAATGGATAATATTGTTCACTATGTTAGTGCTCGAAGAGATGTTTTTCGATGCTAAAATTCAATTTTAACACCATCGGCACAAATATAAATGATAAAATTCCTTAATTATTACTAAGTGGGGGATGTAAAATTTCGTATATAATAATACGCACAAATCGGACTTTTCAACGCAACCCTTAAATACGCAAATAATGCATTTCAAATGCATTCGTTAGCATTTTAAATTATTTATTTTTAAAAAAAACAAAATATCTTGTGTTTTTTTGAAACGTTTTTTAAATTTTTAAAGCATGGATACAACATCTATTAGATACAATAAGATTTTTAGCTTACAGAATTATGATATTACAAAAACGATTTGCTAATTAAATATAGGGCAAGCCTTATTTTTCGGTTTAGAATTTAGACCTTTCATATTGAGAAAAATAATAAAAGTTAACGCTCCAATTTAAACATAGCTGTGTTTACGTTTTTTTTATTTGCGTTTTTGAAACGCTTGCGTTAAAAGGTTCAATTTGTGCGCACTAAAAGTAGAAATAAAATTAGACATTTATAGAACGCATACCGAAAGTTTCGAAACATGGACCGGAACTTAGTTTTATTTCTGCCGAAACAGGAAACGCAAAAAATATCTTTTTTCACCTGATCCCCTAATTTAAATTAAATTAGAATTATTCTAATTAATATAATATAATATACAAAAAGCAAAAGAAGTAGGAAATTGAAAATTTTTTGGAAATTGAGGTGGTATGTCCAAAAATATAATGGTCTGGCAAAAAAAAAATTTAAGGGGTCGGGCAACTTGCGCCAAAAATTTTTAACAAGGCGGAGGCGGACCGGGTCGAGATTTAGATCTCTATAATATATATTTTTTTAAAAAATAAAAAAAAATATGAGATTTTTGTTCAATTTGTGATATTTCTATTTTATCTTATGTTAAATTAAGTAAATAATAATAAATATATCAAATTTCAAAAGGGGTCGGAAAAAATTGACCAATCGATTCTCATTTTTTTTTACTTTACAAAACGTGGATCCATGAAATCCTCTGATAACATTAGTTAATAGAAAATATTATATCTGTATAAATGGACATTGATCATTAAAAAGATAAAAATTATTGATATTAAAAAAAAATTACATTAATATCATTCCAATTTGTAATAATTTTGTAAGTTTTTTTTTATATAATTGCCAAATTTATGATTAATTTTTTTTTAAATAAAAAACCATTTTTTTTTTGGATTCCCCATTGAATAAACAAAATTGAAAAAATCACGGATTGCGACTAGAAAAAAAATTATATGCATGATAAAATATTTCATTTTCGAGTCAATTAACGTCATTAAAACCAAATACAAATTATTTTTATTTTAAATAAAAATTAAAGCTTTTTTAAGCATTTTTTTAAAGGTATTATATTATTATTATTATTTCATTCTTATAAAATAAAATATTTAGACTTTAAAAATAAATTCAACGATAAAATATAAAATGTCATTCTCATCAAAACGTAATATAAGATAGGTCATAAGAAAAAAAATTATTTCGGGAATTTACCATTTATTTTGTCATTTTAATTCTGATCATCAGAATTCTACATTTTTAAAAATAAAATTCTTTTAGGAGATGGATTAAGAATTGCGATAAGTTAAGAAAAATTACTCTAAAATTTGCGAGATATATACGTTAATATACACGAATAGAGGTTTGCAAAGGTGGTTTTCACGGTCGGAACTAGAATTTTAAAAAAAATTTGTCCGAGCTCGACTCTAACCTAAGCACACATAGGTCCAACCCGACTCGAGACCGACCCTAACAGCACTTTCCGTCAGGTGAGCTAAAACATCCCCCTCCCTACCCCGTTTTAAAATCGAAAAGCAATAAGACAATGAATAATTAAATTGAAAACAATTGAATATATTATATTAATTTCTACCAGTATAGTATACATCACGTAATTTATTCCCAAAAAAAGCAAAAAAGACTAAAATAATTTTTTTTAAAATATAATGATAAAAAAAAATGGTAGAAGTCGTAAGTGTCATGTCAAATTTATATGTCATAAGAGGGGGAAAATGAAGAGGGGGTGGGGGGGGGGTAATGTTGTATAATAAAATGAAAAGATAATAGTTGAAACTCAAAGAATATTCAACTTGAAAGAGATTTTTTGATTATATGAAATATATTTAAAAACTGTAAGGAGTTTTATTATGATCTTTCAAATCTGACAGGTCATGTAGTTATGAATATTTAAATAAATCGGTTGTTACAACGGCAATTTATTTGGGTTCAACCATATTCAAAAGAATAATGGAATATATAGAAATGTATCATTATTAAATCATATTTTATTTTGGGAGTTATAAATTTTTTTTCCTTCTTCTAATATTTATAAATTTCGGTATTGTAAACAAAATGATTGCCTAAATTCACTTAACTATTGTTTATTTATATTTAAATACAATAAATTAAAATTTTGGATATGAGTATACGGCCGGGCTTAAGAAATTTTTTTGTGAAACTTATTATGGAACTTGAGAATTTTCTTTTTAAATATTAGATGTGGGCCGGGCCGGGACGGGCCTAAGATAATTTTTTTAGGGGCCTGGTGTCGGGCTTGGTCAACAAACTAAGGCTCATGAAGGTCTCTGTTCGCTTTAACATATCTTAGATTCTCTTGGGAGTTTGAATGGCTTCTCATAAATTTTAATTGAAGGGTTATTAGGCCCGATTTTTCAGATAGGTGGGGGGGGGGGGGGGGTATATTTTTTATTACATAAAACTATATCCACTAAAATTTGCAAATTTTAAGTGGAGATTTCCAGCTGTCTCCTTGATTACTACAACGGAATACAATATTCATTTTGTTCTTTTATAAAGAAAATACATCATGATAAGTGTACACAATATGAATATTATAAAGACATCTCTAACATATTCCACCTCTGCTGTATTTCTAATGATAGCTGGTTCTACATTTTCCTTCCTCTCAACGTTTGAATGTCTGTCCCTAACGAATGTTGTTAAACGGCTCGAATCGAACCTTTTTTTAAAAAAAGAAGAAATATTTTATCTAGAGAAATATTAAGCAAGCCTGAAGATCTTGTTTCATAGTCGCCAAATGTTTTGGGCACATCTATTAGCTAAATCTCAAAGCTTAGCCAATATTTTTCTGGCTAAAATATTATGCTAGCCGTAAAAATCAACTTAAAATCGAATCATTTAACAACACTATCTTTATCTTCTAATGGTCTATTGACGATAAATTATAGTTTATACTTCGTAATATTGCTTTAAATCTGCTCAATAAAGGACATAATTTTTTTTTCCTCGCGGAGTAAAATATAATGGCTCATGTCTATTTTATTATTTAAAATCAATGCTTAAATCGTCCAAGGAGTTCTGATTTTTTTTCCCCTTCTTCTTCCAAAATACAAATCTATGAGTTGTTGTTGCAACTAGTGTTGTTAAACGGCTCGATTTGGGCCGATTTTTAAATACGGCTAACTCAATATTTTATCCAGAAAAATGTTACGCAGGCCTGAAGATTTTGCTCATAGATGGCACCAAGGTTTAGAAATCTAATAGAGAAATATCTAGGGCATGGCCAATATTTTTTTGGCTATAATATTTAGTTAGCCGTTTTTAAAAATCGGCTAAAAACAAACCGTTTAACAACACTAGTTGTAACATTGATAAGGTGACATTTTTATTCATGTTCCTTATTTGGATTTCCCAGGTTTTTTTTGTAGTTGTGAACAATATGGGTTTTTATCTTTTTTTATAATAAGTAAAAGGATGTAATTCGTCAAATTAAAATATTTAGCGCCATTTTTCTTCGTTTATAAAATATATAAAAATAGTATAGAAGCTCAACAAGGTTATTGCCATATAAAATCCATCTAAGCTTTGAGAGGAGTGAGTTAATTTATATCTGATTTTTTGAAAAGAGGGAAGGAGGGAAGGAGGGAAGGAGGGAAGGAGGGAAGGAAGGAAGGAAGGAAGGAAGGAAGGAAGGAAGGAAGGAAAGAAACGGCTGACGTAATCGTTTTTTTGTATTCTAAATACTTCGGATCTAGCGTTTACATAAGCAGGGGGGAGGTTAGGTAGGAACAGTTTGCATCCTTATTTTTTAAGGGGGTTAGGGGGTAGACGCCTTTAAGGGGGGTTGGATAAATTTATTGTGGGGGAGGGGGGGGGGGGTATATATTAAATTTTTAGATGAAATAGGGCGAAATATATTGCTGTAAAAAATAATACTTTTTTATTATAGAGTTATTATAATTCAATGATATTGCTAATCATCAACCAAATCTATATATTGCATACAATCATAGTTATTACTTCCCATATAAAACTTTCTGCTATTTAAAAGGGTTAGACATTCTTAGAAAACTCATATTGATGCTAAACAATATATACTACAATAATGCATTTATTGTAATTGTGGATTTTTAATTGAATCTATGTTTTAAAAAATAACTTTTATATTCACAATATTTTGATAGATGGTAGTAGATCTAAAATAATTTTAGCTATTCTGCTTGAAATCTATGAGTAGCATTTTAATTAAAAGGGAGTAATTAACAATGTAAAATCCACCGAATGTGGCGAAATTAAGGAGTAGGCATAGGTTTTTAGGGAGGTAGGCATAGGTTTTTAGGAGGGTTTACATCCAGTGAAAATCCTATCAAGTAGACGCTATTACTTTCAATGCAAGTTAGTGCCAGCAAAGCCAATATAATTAATCAAATACTTTTCACTTACTGTCAATAAAATTATACACTAGCTCTGTGAATTAACCATAAGTGTCTGCAGCCCCTTCTAGAAGGAAAAAGAAGTAGATAACAAAATACCTAGATTTATTCCCTATGCATTAAAACACTACTTACGTCCTACCCCATAGGAGCCTACCCTCTACATATATATATAGAGGCAAATAGATACTATTCCCTCGAACCCCTCGCTGATGTGGACACTGTAACTGTCTAATTTTACTAGGGTTAAGGAAGATACATCGTCTCGATACACCTTCTGCCTACATCCTTCAACGCGACCATTAAAATAAAATATTTTCAAATTCTATTTTATGCAAATTTTACGAAATTAGCGAAAGTAAACACGTGATTTTATTATACCCCTTTCCCCGACCCCTAACCTCAGTGGTCTCAAAGTTTAAATTTTCTTTGTTTATGGAAGTAAAACTCATACACATTATCAGAATTATGAAATGCTTAAAAAAAAATTTCATGATGTCATTCGTCAAAGATTTTTTATTCAAAATTTTGGGCAAGCTCTGCACAAGTGTTGTTAAACGGCTCAATTTAGCCAATATAAAATCAAGAATTTAGCCAAAATAATATTACGCAAAAACCTTGAAATTTCCGTTAATAGTTGTCCAAATCATTCGGCCATCTCTGAGCAAAATCTCCAGAGTTGCGATATTTTTTGGCTAATATTGGGTTATCCGTTTAACAACACTGTACAATATCACATTATTTCTATATAATAATTTATAAATTTATTTATTTCTTACTAAAAATAGGCCAAAAATTTTAATGAGAAATAATTATTTTATTTTTTTAAAAAAATAAAAAATTATTTAGGAAAAGATACATTTTGTTAATAATTTCTATTTTCAACTTATAGCTTTAATTTTTTTTTTTTTACAAACTAATTCAAATAAATCATACTTTAAAGTTAAATAGTTCTTTATAAAAAACTAACTTATTAATTGTCGGAACTTATAAATCATATCTAATCTACCCTGTTTTTTTGCTTTTCGCTTTATCACAAATTACTAGCAAATTAAATTGATATTTTTATTACTAATTTAATTTATAAAATATATATATTATATATTTGGTAACATGTTACATTTTATTATAAATGTTTTAAAGTTTTTTATTTTTTATTAGTAAAAAAAACGGGAACTCTATCCGCATAATAATTATTATTGAAAATGTTCATTTTTTAAATATCTTGTCATGTATCTTGATTATATATAAAAATATTTAATATATTTATTATATATCCCCGACAACCTTGAAGCATGAGAGAGAATTATAAATAAATTGTTAAAATTCATCTTTCTTTCTTTCTTTCTTTCTTTCTTTCTTTCTTTCTTTCCTTCTTTCTTTCCTTCCTTCCTTCCTTCCTTCCTTCCTTCCTTCCTTCCTTCCTTCCTTCCTCTCCTTCCTTCCTTCCTTCCTTCCTTCCTTCCTTCCTTCCTTCCTTCCTTCCTCTCCTTCCTTCCTTCCTTCCTTCCCTTCCTTCCTTCCTTCCTTCCTTCTTTCATTTTTTCTTTTGAGTTTTTCCATTATAACATGATATTTTACACTTACTTAGGCATATAGATTTAGATAAATTTTGAGGAAACGGAGAGTTGCGCGTGGAAGTTTAAACTAGTGTTTGTTAAACAGCTTATTTTGAGCCGATTTTTTAAAATGGCTAACTCATGTCTAAGCTTCGAGATTTCGATAATATATGTCTAGAACCTTTGTTCCTTATATGAGCAAAATCTTGAAGATCGCGTCATATTTTTCTGGATGAAATATCGAAATTGCCGTTTTTCGAAAACAGCTCAAAACGAGTCGTTTAACAACACTAAGTTTATACGCCTTTCAATTCAATTATAAAATATATGTTATATTTATAAAAAAAAAATTAATTCAAAAATCTGCTATATATAATATCTATAAAATCATTATATTTTTTAGTCCAAAAATAAGCAAACTGATTATATGTCAATTATCATTAACATCAAAACAAAAAATAAAAATTGGAAAATTATTCGATAATGGGGAGAAATTTAATTTTTAAATCATCAATCAATTTAATTTATTTTGTAAAATTATCTTTTGATTATATTTTATTTTATTTTTTTATAAAATGATCGATAAATTTTATTCGAAAAATTTGAAATATTAATTAATTATTTGTACTATACATATACATAAAAGATAAAAACTTTTATCGTGTAATTTTGCCACGAGAATGCAATCAATTATAATAATTAATAATAATTTTTTAAAAAAAACTTGAATTGGGATAAGGATTTGGGATTACAAATCTTTTAAATCATTTTATCGAGGGGCCATTTTCTACTTTTGGATGATTACAAATTTGATCGGACATTACATCGCAGAAATGAAAAAGTGTATAAGCACTGCGAATTTTCGCACATATTAATTTATATGTATATATATATATTTCATAATAAATTAAAGTAAACACATAATTTGATGGCGAAAGTTTTTCTGATATTCACAGGCTAAGTAGGTATTATAGATATTTTTAGAAGATATTTCCAACGAATTTGTATCTGTTAAACATAAAAAAAATCACCCTCAATAAATGATTTTAAAATTGAGAAATCACGAATTCCCCGTGGATTGCCAATACGACACATATATATATATATCCATAGATAACTAAATATTTTCTGGTGAACGAGGCAAAGATCCACGATGACCCTAAGACCGCGATATTTTATCTCCATTTCCCCTTCCAACCTAATAAAATAATTTTACCCTAAGATTCATACCATGACCAGAAACCTATTAGAACATTTTTGTTTTATATGATTATATTAACCTCCTATTTAATAAGGAAAGAGAATGTGATAAGAAAGGCATGATAATAATTCCGATAAGATTTCAAAAAAAAATATCTTTAATTTTTTATAACTAAAAAAAATAGGCAGATCTTTTTTGATCAGTAACGCGAGGGTCAAAGATTTTCCCGTCATTTTTATTAGCGATGCCTTTTCCTCCATTTTCGGGTATTCGAGAGGGCAAGTCATGCGAAAATCTAGTCTTTGCCATTTTCTATTCGGGGAAATGACGTCGACCTTGGCAAAATTGGAGATCGAAAACGCCTTAATCAAGGGTATCAACAAGCACGTCGATGCCTATTTTTACAAAAAAACAGGTTTATAAATAAACATAATATACAAATTTTACGAAAAATGGGTTTGGCTAACGTCTTATCTCGTTTTAATTTTGGTTCTGAGTTCTATTCAGAAAATGAGCTTTTAGAATAAAGATTCTGACATATGGTGATGATATCTTTTAAAAATACACTTGTAACTTGCTCCTATGTTTTATAGTCCATAAATCTATAAATCACTATTTAGTCGGCTATATAGATGATGACATCTTTAAAAATACGCTTAATGTAAACTTGCTGTGTCTATAAAACACTATAGACGACTATGCAGGTGATGATATCTTTAAAATACACTTGAAATGTCTACATGTTCCTATGTTTTATAGTCTATAAATCAGTATTTAGTCGGCTATATGGTTGATGATATCTTTTAAAATACACTTGAAGTGTATATTGGCTCTATTTTATAGTCTATAAATCACTATTTAGTCATCTATATAGGTGATGATATCTCTAAAATACACTTAAAGTGTACTTGCTAAGTCTATAAATCACTATTTAATAGTTTATGGGTGATGATATGATATTAAAAATACACTTGAAGTGTATACTTGCTCTTATATTTTATAGGTCTATAAATCACTATTTACTCGGCTATTCAGAATTTAAAAAAAATAAATAAGACGAATCAGAACGTAGCCTGAATGTTTTTATCGATTCTTAGAAAAGACTATATAGTATTTTGCCATATGTTAGATAATTAAATTACTTTAAGCCTCGTTACATTGGGCAAATAGTAATAATAGATAATAATGATATAGGTCATGTTTTGACGATTTCTATAGATGTTCATTTTAAAAGAACATAATTATACATACAAAAAATAATAATCACAGGCGACATTGGATATTTCAATCTATTGGTCGTTCCCATAAGAAATACGTCGGGCTTAATTTACATATACGTGCTCAATTTTAAAGAGGTCGGGTGCCCAATGTACTCGGAGGATTCTAAAAAGATGACCAGTATATAAATTATATATAGATTTTTTTTTGAATATATTATTATAATTTAAAAGTTGAAAAATACATTTCAAACCTATAAAATTATAATTTTAAAAATTATTTAACCCATATTGAAAAAAAAAGAAGATATATATAATACTGGAAAAATTTTGAAATGATACATTTTACGAACTTCAAAGCTCTTTTTTAGGTATATAAAAGTGAATTATTAGAACAAAATATCGAGTTTAATAAGATTTTGATTGTTTTAGTATAATATATATCAGAGACCTGCAGGCCTGGTTCTAAGCCCGGGCCGTATTTTAATTTCTAAAAAGTATACCGGGCCGGGCCCTATATTTTAAAACCAAATATTTGAAATCGCCATTAACAGCTATAAAAATCAAAAATAAATATAATATATTTTGAAAAAATCCGGGCCGGGCCTGAATATTTTTTTTTCTTAAATTTCAAATAACTCTTAATCCATAGCAATTTTTTATATAGTTTTTTTTTTTTTCAAATAAATTTAAAAAATATTACACATTTTGTTTTAAGTTATAAGGAATATATGTTTATAAGATAAACGTTCCAAAAGAGAGTTTTAAATAAATAATATAAAAGATGATTTAAAGGGTATATATCGTAATAAGGTATAATTAAAGTACAGCATTAGAAATCGTTTAGACCCATTCGATAAATTATGTTGAAACAACTATTTAGGGCTCGAGGAAAAACAAAAACACAATTTTTTTTTTTGCTTTTTTAACAAATTCTTTACCATAAATAATTTATTATTAATATAATGAATATTTCTAAAATGTTTATCCGATCAGATAAAATTTTATATACAATTGTTAATATCAAAACGAAACAGTTTGATTTCTAACATATTATATTCTATAACAAAAGTTCTTTTCATTAATAATTTATTTTCAGTTCTCCATATAAAATTTTTGCAGATATTATATTAATTATGATGTATATTTTATTGAATATTTTTTTTATATATATATATCAAGACTCAGTGTAAACAATTATATAGTTTTACTACCCATATTTAAAAATATTTTAAAATTTTTTTACAAAACAATCTTTGAAAAGGGAGCAAGTCTTTCTCCAAGAGCCTCAGAATTTTCAAGCGCTCATTGTTGCTGGATAAATATAAAAATCGTCACGATAGACTACATTTGAGCCGCCTCAAACCAAATAAGTTTTTTGAACAAAGTTCTTACCGAAGTCTTAAGAGATTACTATCCAAGCGTAAGTTCAACTCGCCTTCATCACCGGAATCAAGACAGGGGAACACGAATGAGCATTTCGTTTCATCTTTAGATGCGATTGATAATAACGAAAATTACCTTCTAAAGTAAAATATAATCCAAATCGTATTCTGTATAATAAAAGAATGTAATGGCTATCCTGGGTTTAATGGTAAAGTTTTTTAATTTATAAAACCTACATGTCTCCATTTTCTATCCCCACGTAGGTTCAATTTTTTTTTTATATAGAATTAGTCTTGAAATAAAATCTCTACGATAGTTCGAGTTAAATTTTACGAACCAATGTTTGGGGATGATGGTAAAACTAACCAAATAATGTATGTTCAAATAATAAAACATTGATAAATATTCCGCTAAAGGATAATCAATTCGATTTCATGTTTAATAGATCAATATGCTACATATTAGGCCTATTCAAAAACGACTATGAATTGAATAATGACCAATAAATACCATGTATATTTATATATATATATTAATAAATATAGTAAAAAAATAACTGTTGGAAGGGAAGATCAAAAAGATTTCGACTACATGTGCTTCATTGAGGGAAATGCCTTTTATATAATTATGCGTGTATATTAATGTGTTATAAATTCGGGAATCAAAATATAGTATCAGTGTCATAAAACATATGTAGCATGTTTATTTAAAATGACAATTAGTTTGCCCGTAATTGTGTTTATCAAGACTTCTGTGTTGTAAGGGCTGGCTTACAATACCATTGCAATACTATCATATTTCGAACTATTGATTAGGTTTAAATACTTATTTACTTTATATTGTACGATATTAGTTTAAATTGGTATTGATTTTAATTGTTAATGAATAAATTTCAACATTTTCGAATAGGGTCTAAAGTTTGATATTTGTCCTTGTTCATTAGAAACGAGTGTAGAAACATCTAATAATATAATAATTTAAAAAAATATAATCATAGATTATATACCTTTATTTCATTTATAATTTTTTACCATTTTATTTTTGCTTAAGGCGAAGGAAAGGCAATTGTTATGCCACTAGTAAAAAAAAAAAATAATAATTTTATTTAAAATATTACAAAATTTGGTAAGAAAGTTATTTAAAATAGCTATGCTGATTACTTAAAATGGAGAATTTTAAATGAAAAAAATAGGACGCTTATCCATTTTTCTAAATTGGTGCTAATTTTAAAAGGGTAGGGTAAAAATGGTGGGGGGGGGTCCAAAGCGCCTAGCTTAGAGACCTCCGCAGGGTAAGTAAAATTTAGAATAACCGTTATTTTTATTCAAAATATTCAAGAATTTACTATAATAGTGAATAATTAATATAAAAGTCACTGGTTACATTTTAGTGATGCTTTAAACAGTTACTTTTATAAAATAAAATAACTTAAAATGAAATACCATCACTTATCTTATACAAAAATTATTTAGGACATTCAGTCTTAAAATCGAAATTTGTAAAAAAAAAAATTAAATAAAATTATAAATCGTAGTGCGGTGGTCTCAGAAAATATTTGCTCCCGTGGGACCTATATATATTATCGCTAAGGCTGAATCTATAGTAAACGCGTTATATTTAAGCCTTACGTTAGTTAACGCTATCGAAATCACAAGTAATTCTACATAGGGTTGGAAATGCTTGAAATATACGTCATAACATATGTTTTTCATATTATGCCTATTTAATGGTTTTGATTTTGTAAATAACGCACGGCGTGAACATGACGCGTTTACTACACATCAGGCCTAACTCATATCTCTCTATCCTTTTTAAAAAAATTCTTTTTCCCTTACCCAATTTTTGGGGAAATTTATTTTTAGGATTCTTTTTTCCTTCAAATTTTGGCGGTTTTTTTCTAAGTTAGGGCCTTTTTTATGGGGTAATCTTTCCTTAGATGTGTTATTTTTCCCCCCATTACTAGTTTAAATGAACACGCGTTATTTAGGTAATATTTCTTTTCCATCAAAGTAAAATCTGGGTATAGAGACTTTATTATAGATTCTAATCTTATATGATGTCTGCTGCCTTGTTCCTTTTGCTAAGAATTTTAGAAGTTTATTATATATGCATTTGTTTTTTAAAAAAATATAATCAAAAAGGAAGGATGTCCGGCGAATTGAATCTAACTTAACGTCACCAGCTAATTGCAATTCAGATGAGGCGGGTAAGATTTAAAATTTTGTTCTTATATTCTGATTCTTCTTATTTTTTTAACCTTAAAATCAATAATTAATCCAAATTTTTTTAATATAAGTGTTATTAAATTAACTATTTACCGGTCACTAAGTCACATTTTTTGCAAAAAAAAAACTGCTACTAGATACTTTTATGAATGTAACGACAAAGGTAACTGATGACATTTTTTAGAGTTACTTCTATAAAAAATATATGTTTAAATATATCTTCATTTTATTTATCTTCTTCGTGATAATTTCCCCGATTAAAGCTTTTGATGCACATTTGACTTTTAAAATCGTGATAGACATGTCCTAATGAATAAACCTTTAACATATTGATAAAGTTAATTTTCAGGTTCAGTTAAGATTTAAACTATAAAAAAAAATCTATCGACTTGATTCGATTAATAAAATTTAGTCAAGTCGAACTAGACTTTTACAACTAAATTATCCGCATGAGTCGGGCTGTTTTTACACGACTCCGCCAGGGATCTGCAGAGATGAAAAATTTTATTCCCGATCCTAATTTTAAAATCAATTTATTTTCGGATCCGGACCAGAAGGGGGTTTTTTTTAAAAAAAAGAAGATCTTTATCAAGTCCAGCCTGGGATTTTGGCTCTGCTCAGCTCAGAATTTTTATTCTTGATGATTTTTACGGCCAGGCGTTTAAAGTTTATTTTGCATGTTTTTTTGAGATATATGGAAATAGGACCAGTATATAAATGAATATTAAAACGGTTCCAATATAAAAAAAATTTTTAACGTTTCCTCGCGGATGGAGTTAAATTAATGATATATATAAGCCTTAGTCATCATATATCAAATCTGTTAAACATTTATCAAAATACGATAAGAAGACTCATCATTTTTATCTTAATATAATAAATATTAACGGGATCACGTGGGCACTTCCGATATTCTATATATCACACAACCATAACACATAACCGCATAGCAAGCTTCCGAAAAACCGATCCGTATTGGATTCTAATCCAATTATATACGGTAGGGTGACATATACAGTAGTAGGCCACAGACGCTGTCAGAAGAACAACCATTTTTTAAAAAATATTTACGAAGAAAGAAAGAAAGAAAGAAAGAAAGAAAGAAAGAAAGAAAGAAAGAAAGAAAGAAAGAAAGAAAGAAAGAAAGAAAGAAAGAAAGAAAGAAAGAAAGAAAGAAAGAAAGAAAGAAAGAAAGAAAGAAAGAATAACAACTCTCTCTAATATTTTAATAAAAACGCGTTTAAAAAACAGAACGTTCAAACGCTATTAATTCTTCCGGTTAGTTACGGTTTGTACCTGCACGTCTCAGGTTAAATGAAATGTCAAAATAAGAATATTCAACCTATCATAAAAAAAAGATTTATGTTAGCGTCAATCAATGTATTATTTCCGGCAACGTTATTTTTTTTTCTACTTTAAATCATTTTTGAGCGCGTTTTTTTAAAATTTAAAAAATCTGATTTTATCGGAAATGTATTCCATCTACCTACCCTGTAAATTTCGTGCAATTTTGCCATGAACCCTTGTTGAACTCAATAAAATTTATTTTAGATTTATCAAAAATTTTTTATATAAATTTGAACTCAAAGGTTAGTCTATTATTCATAAGATAGGTATTCCCAACATGATAGAGCGTATTTCCGGTAAAATCCGATTTTTAAATTTTAAGAAACGCGCTTAAAAAATGGAATTAAAGTTGAAAAAATAACACAATGCCGGAATAAACACATTGAGGCTAACATATATATGATTACATCAGCTGTGTTGAGAGCCACCACCCGTATATCAGGTGAGGGGGGGGGTCAAATGCTACAAGGGAAAAGACCTCAGATTCTATGGAGTCTCTAATAAATTATTATTTTTTTCTTGGAAGGAACTCTAGATTACTTTCATATCAATTTTTAGACTTAATATATGTATATTTTTAGTAACCGGAGGCTATATTTCAGTTTAATCATTGTAATTTTAGTGTGTATATATACATATAAGTAAATTATGTTGAAGTTTAAATTGTCTTATTTTATTTTTTCACATATATATATATACTAATTAAAGTACATTTTCTGCAAAACTATATCTTCAAATTTAAAAACGCGTTCATCAAATTATTTTTCTATTTTCCTACCTATGGGCATGTTTTATTTAAAAATATGGGATTTTGCATATGTAAAATATTACTTTAAATTTCAGATAATTCTATTAGGTATTACACATAGATGATTGTGCTGTGCCCAGGTAATCAATGTTGCTTTAAGGTTTACCTCTAAAAGTAACTAGTTTCAGTTACATGTTACATTTTTTAAAAGGTAACATAAACAGTTACATTTTTTTTTAAAGTAACTTAATTTTGAGAGTAATTAGTTACACATTGTAAGCTACTTTATAAACTATTTAAAACAACATATACTTTTTAATATTATAAATTTATGAAAAATAGAATTTAAATAAAGATAGAATTTAAATAAAGTAATTGCCCTAAAAAAAAATATACTACAATAATATAATATTTATTTTTCAAGGAAATAGCCCAATATAATATTTATCTGCAACCCGCATCGTTATATTGTTAATGCAGTAGCGTACGCAGGAATTTGGTCTGGGGGGGGGGGGGGGATAATAAAATTTTTTAAGAAATATTATTGTTTTTTAAAAATATCAAGCATAAATTTATCAGGACTAATAACTATTTCTAATACACATTTTTAAATTAATGTGAATTATAAAAAAATTATATGTAAAGACTCACTTAAATGACCCAAAATAGAAATTTGAATTTTTTGAGCTTTAAAATTTATATATAAAGTTAAAAAAATTTAAATGTTAGAAATATAAATTAATACACAAAAAGCTTAGGGAATAATTGTATTTTGTATGTCATACATTTACAATGTAAAATCCAATCTTCGTTGGGATTGAGCTAATTTTTCAATTATCTCATCCTTGCTTGTTGTCAAATGCCTATGAATATTCAAAAGATCCAAACCTTTCAATCTACTTTCAAAAGTTGTACTTCTTGGTATGTTTTTCAGAGACCTGCAGGCCCGGCCCCGGGCTGGACAGTATGGCCGGGCCCAAATTTTTTAAAAATAAACACCCGGGCTGAGCCTAAATTTTTAAAAAAAAACATCTAGGCCGGGCTGAAAATTTTTTTAATCGTTATTATTAGCTATAAAAATCAAAAATAAATATAATTTATTTTATAAAAAAGCGGGCCGGGCCTGAAAATTGAGCTTAGCCGTAAAAATCTTTAAAAAATCCGGATCATGCCCTGCAAATGGTACCTCTGCAGTGCTATGTTATTCTTCTTAAAAAAGAGAATGTTCTCTCATTAGTTTACTATTGGGAAGAGTTGCTAATATATATAAACCCTTTTAATACATTGGGGATATAATCTAAAATGTGTTTGAAATAATGCAGAGCATCGATAGCATTTTTTGGGACTGTATCAACCATAGTTAATCTTATAAACATAGTTATTCAGCTAATAAAGCATCATAAGATACTTTAACATCTTCACGATAAAAATCCAACAAATATTTTTTTTTCTATCACCATCTGAAAAAGGTTGGGATGGCTTTTATGGAAATAATATTTGCAGATTGGTAAGTGCTGCATAATGAATTAAAAACCATTCATTTATTTGGTTTATAAATGTATTTGTATCTAAGATATACTCTTCTACTGATCCTATATTAATGTTTTAACTATGAGCTTGCCTTGCTGCAAGTCGAGTGAGACAAATATTAAACACGTATAGCTCTGCTTTTGACTTAACAATAACATATAAAATATGAAATTCTTCATAAACATTAGCCCTAATTTTCTTGAGTTCTAATAAAATGCTCTTCGCTATTCTCATCTTCTTAGTCAAGTCATCATGTTTTTGAAAAGTAATACATAAAATAGTTGTACATTAATGAAAAAAAAAATTTGGAATAAGCATTGAATCCAATAATTTTCTTGCTTCTAAGGAAAAATTTTTCAGGCCATTGTGATATGTCAGTAATAGCAAATAATCGGCTCTTCTAACTCCATAAAAGCTGTTACTGCTTGATGGCGGAGACTCTATCTCGTAGGACAAGCTTGCAATTTCTTTCTCCCTGTTGGACAATTTCAGAATAATTATTATTTGACTAGAAATTTAAAAATGGTAGATAAATATTACGCCACTAAAAATTTGAAAATAATAAGATAATATTACGGCGGAAAACTTTAAATCGAAATTAATTGATAAACTTAGTGATGAATGTGATAATAAATATAATTAAATATATAGGAATAAATATTAACAAATATAAATTAATATAGTACTGTGTAAATTTAATTCAAAACATTTCCATATTTATTTATTTATTTGAAAATATTGATTTGTAAAAAGTTGTTAAAATAACATATTTATATATTCTTATCAATTTTTACAAATTAAAATTTTTATTTACAAAAGAATTAAAAAATATGGAAATGTTTTAAATTAAATCTGCACAACACTCTAAACAAAAATATTTTTGAAAAATATATCCGGCATCTGCATTTTTTAGCTTTGGGGGGGGGGGGGGATTTGTTCCCCTGCCCCCCCCCCGCTGCGTACGCCAATGTTTTAATGTATTATACATTTATTTGATTTTTAACAATAAATTATTTTAAAAAATTGGCATCTAAAAAGGCGTACTCATTTTTCTCTTAAAATAAGCCTTCTCGGGCCCTAAACCGCCTTAAAGGATCGCCTAAGGTAAACGAGACATTGTATTTGATAAATAGTATAATTTTAAATTTTGGGAAAGGAGATATTCATATAAAGTTAATGAATTGAGAGATAATATATAATTTAACAATTATAAAATTAATTAGTTATATTTATCGTTTTGTTACATTCGTTAAAATATAACTAGTTGCGGTTACTAATTACTAGTGTTGTTATAATTGGCCCAATATTTTAGGCAAAAAATATCACGCACAAACCTAGAGATTTGGCTCATAAATG